CACTTAATCCATATTTTAATTGATACTTAAAAATCAAATTGAGTATTCTTTTCAATTTTAGGCCCGTCTAGTTCACAGCATTCCACATAGTTCCGAAATGGACTCTTCATTTATGGACCAAATCTGTTTCCTGGTCCATGTTCTCAGGTTTAGGTACATGGAGCAGTTGCACCATTCACCTTCCTCCCCTCTGCATCCCTCACACATCAGCTATCATTTACGAGAAACCTTCCTCTCAAGTATCCCCAGGCCCCCTCTCCAGCTCCCTCATGGGGTTTCTTTATGACACAGGCCACTCTTGAGGCCAAGCTTAGCTGCCCTATAACTCTCCAGACTCCAGTCTGGTTGCCATAGTGATCTGTCCCCCGTGTAAATCTGGGAACATCGCTTGCAGAGCTAACACCCTTCTACCCATGGAAATGTTTTCCCAGGACCCCCAGAGCCAAGGGGTCCCCACCCCGACAGGAGCTCAGCCCCTGGAGATGGTGCATTAGGGCTTGGAGGGATGAGGGACGAGAGATGTCAGACTTCAAGGGACTTGACTGCAGGCTCTACTTGCGGTCTTGAGTGGACAGAGGAGTGGTTTAGAGGGACCAGAGGGTGCACCCTGCCCTGCCTGCTTCTCCTCCCTGCATCCCTGGTGGACTTGAGGTATGGATGAGGTGTGGGGTACACATGAGACTAAGCGCTCCCTTCTAGCAGGGTGAGGTTTTGTTTGTCTTGGAACATTTCCTATAAGCTCCACTTTGTGAGGCCTGCTGGGACAGTTTTGCAGCTTCTTGGGAAAAGATTACAGCGGGGTGGGGTGGGGTGAGGTGGGGGTAGAGAACAGACGAGACAACACAATGAAAAGGCGCCCCCTCAGGCCAAGCTCAGTAGGTGCACTCCAGCCGTGCAGCCTCTCACACTCAGTTAACACTTGGTTCAGATAGTTAGCATGCTCCCTCTCTTTTAAAAAGACATTGTTGAAGAAGGACATGTGCACTGTAAATTCACACATCTTAAATATATGGTTCAATGGGGGAAAAATACCTTTCTAGTTACTCAGAAGTTCCCTATTGTCCCTGTCGAGTCTGTATCCCCACTTTCCGTGCCAGAGGTGAACTTAGTGAGACCGGCCATACAGGTCCCTCCAACAAGTTATGGAGCTGTATATAAACACAGTCCCCAGGCACACGCCCCCTGCATACAGGTCCTCTTGCTCAACACTGTGCCTGTGAGATTCATTTGTAGTTATTGTATGGATTCTTAACTTGCTGGGAAATACTCTATTATGTACTGTATACAATGTAATCTGTCGCCTTTTGTTCACCCATCTTCCCATTTGTACTTGGGTTTTTTCCTGTTTGGGACAGTTATAGACAGAGCATTTCCTTCACTTGGGGCTTTGTTCTGTGCCTGGTATGTCCTATCGTGCTGCAGTCCTGGCTGTCTATCCTGCTCGCCTCTCTCTGTGGGCACCTGTTTGGCTGCTGTGGCATAGAGTATTTGGCCTGGGCTTGTGATGATGCTGTGGTGTCTTACACTACTTCGGGAGGTCCCTAGGTAACTCTGGCAGCCTTAGTCTGGGCACAACATTGGGGATGTGGTGTGCTTGCTTCTCTGGTTTTACTGCTGCTGACATCTGTGGGCCACCTTTCAGCTCTGGGTGTTCTTGCCTCGCTCTCTCTCCACCTGCATCCCTTGGCTGTCAGTCAGTTGTGAGACCGACCGCTTGTATGCTTCACATACAGCCAGCCTTCACTGATGTTTCTGGAACTGGGAGAGTTATCAGAGACAAATCTGAAAAGCCCAAACCTTAAGATAGGCAGCTCTGAGGGAACATGTTTCGAGACACATTCTCAGCTGTCTTCCTGAAAAGCTCTGGGTGTGGTACTGTCTGTCAGTATTAACAATCATGGGTGTCCTTAAATGCTTTTATCTTCGTGTGTGTGTGTGTGTGTGTGTGTGTGTGTGTGTGTGTGT